GGAGACAACAACGTTTCTACGGTGATAATATCCATTTTCAACCATTTTTGGGACTGGGTTTAGTTAGCTGGGAGAACTTGTGCCCAATTTCTCTGACTGCTATTCCTCAGTAAAATATTTTTTGAATCCATTTTCACTAATGCAACTGGTAAATAATAACTTAATTTCAATATTTATTTTAGTATTATTTTGTATTGCTTGCTTGACAATATCCCGGGGAATCCAATGAAATTCAGTGAAGTCCCATCGACATTTGAAACCACATACATATACGTACTTGTACACGCCTCGGTTCACCCAGTAATCTAATTAAAGCGTAAACAAATCCCAGACAGTTCACCAAGGGCACCTGTACTCCACAATGTCAGTGAAATAAGGCTCAACATTTCCCTCAGATTTATTTTTCAATGGTGTAATAATAGTAATACGATCTATCGTAGGCCGAACACTTGAATGGAACTTCAGCATTAAGTCATTTGTGTATAGTAATCATCTGTATTATCAGCCGATTGGATAATCAGCGACAATTTGGAGGTTAAGGAAAGGTTATTCAAGGTCAGTCGTAGTAATTTTTCTTAACAGGGACTGATATCGTCAGAAAAATATATCACCGAGATCTTGTCCGTATTGTCACTTACATAATCCACCAAAGACCGAGTGTACTTCTACCTGTCTTTGATGATGATTGAAGAGTGAATAAACTTGGTTCAATAAATCATCGCCATTATACGATCGGGTCATACGTACATTGTTAGTGTAAGATGGCCACTGATTAGCCGTAAGAACCGCTGATGTTATCGTCAATATCCCTTCATATATCGACCGTGGACTTATATTGATTACCCGCATATAATAAAGCAACATAAACACATACATACAGCCTTTGAAATAAATACGTTTTAAGTAACGGTTTCCGGGTCAAAGGCCGTCTGTACTATAGCATCACCACATACGAAACCGCAGGTGTGCCATTGCCAGGTAAGCTACAGGCACTTTGTGCCCTTTGCCTAGCCCAGGGGTATAAGCCACCTCAGTCAACTGTGTATTCCGGATTTCCTGCGACTCGAGTGTCCCAATTAATGTATCATAGTTGGTGACATTAGTTAATGACGGATGCCCTTTGTTTCAGCATTTGATGTGGTAATATTATTTATAACGAATCGTTTAAGTGGTATTTTTAAACTGCACTCAATGTGACTTTGTTGGTGAAAAAACAAGTTTGAACAACCCAAACTTCTTATGCTGTTTATGATATAGCAACATCTTTAGAAATGAACGTTTGAATGAACATCCGTAGCTTTTATGGTGGTCTGAGATCGTCTGTTTATAAGAAAACGTTAATACGATGTTTTTACATAATGAGACAGGGAAACTCGGTAGCTACTCCGAGATCGTATCTGTAGATTTAACATCCGGGGCGTTTTTGTACTGCATGTTCTAATTTAGATTGCACTGTCACAAGAGTTTTAGACTCTATTTGACCTCTCTGATACTGATTATCGCCGGATATTGCGGACTGTGTTATCCCCAGTACACTAGCCCTGTATACAGAGTGGTACCGCCATTCAGTAGGTATCGGCATTCCAATCAACCAGAGTACAGCATTGTCACAGAAACCACTTCATCATTGTACATATCTTCATCATGTTTTACACGTGTAGAAACCCAATTAACAGACGTAGTCGTCATACTAACGTGTCTCGTCAACAGCCTCGAGCAGGAACCAGCCGTAAAGAGCCGATTTAACACGGAACAATGCATTCCGTCAGCGACTTTTATTTTAGAACAAATGGTAAATCTACTTTTGGTTCAGAGCAGGGCGCCACCAGCGTTCCGCGCTCGGAGCTCGCGGAGACGACGTGGGTAAAGAAAGAGTATTAGAAATGGATCAGAAGGCAAATAAAAACTAACTGATCGTCCAATAATAACATCTCCACATGTCCGCGGCAATAAAGATATTCTGTAACCGCCATGTCATGAAAACTTCGTTACGTACCCATGTGTTAGGCCACAGGTGGTTATTACGACACGTCAGCAGTGTTTCTATTTTTGTTCCTAACCCCGTGGTAAAGCATTGACAAGTTTGTTACTTCCTCAGACTTTGGTACCACTTCTGTATACAATCCAACACGTTTTACTTCCTGTACTTTTCGCCTGGGAATTTGTTAATGTTGCAAGACCCAACTGTTTATTGGAAAGTGCCAACATTCTAATTACATTTCAAAGACTTGTCATAATATACCGCTGTTGATCATATACCGATAATAACTTTAAAAACAGTAATTTTCAGGTAAAATCATCATGTACATTATAACTTATCGTACTGCCCTGGGCGAGTTGTTTGTACACTAGGTTTGGGTATAAGATGGTTATATTTTGTTAATTCACAAATTACGTACAAGAAAATGTTCACTGAACTAACAATATCGCAAATACGTTCAAAGTCTAGGCTATATGTGTTGGATCTTGAGCTAACTCAATAACGCGTTATACTTTTCTATAGGAGCGTATTGTACACTATTCTATACAAAAGGATATTTGGTATACTTTCATGTTGAGGCGCAAAGAATAGAGCCAACAACAGTCGCTATGATGAAATCAAGTTTTCCACCGATTGTAATATAACGATAAATGTTCCACAGCGGGATGGTTTCTGTTAATGACCAGACGAGAGACTTTTTTAATTTGCTGGACATATCGTTTAGGATCAGACCTAAACGAGATAGGAGGCACGGTAGTCCAGTGGTAGGACGCCGGTCTTGTGACCGAAAGGTTGCGGGTTCGCGCCACGGCACGGTAATGTGTTGTATCTTTGAGCAAGATACTTTACTCCGCTGTAAATGAGCACGTGGTTGGGCTTGTTGAATGCTAGCTGTTAGCGCCGAAATGGCAGCTCTGGCTGTATGCTCCCCAGGGAGTTGAGAAATGTATTTGCTAGTTGCAAAGGCCCTACAACCACGGATAATAATTTGTGAACCGCTTTGAGGCGACCTACGAACTAGGTTGTGATAAAGCGGTATATAAGAACCTCCAATTATTATTATAATTATCATTATGTAGAGCAATTCCATGTGAAAGTGCTTACTACCAAGATGTTTGGTAAATAGGATTCCATTTCACGTTCCTAACCTCGTAATGACCATTTGTCTAGACATATTAGACTGAAATACTAATTGTTACAGCGACTGTTACCTACAGCACATTTAGATATATCGAGAAACAAGTTCACATACTCGTATGGCCGTTACGACTTACGTTAGCCCGTGTAGGTGGCAGGACTTTTTTTGTATGAGGCACTACCGAGAAGGCGGGGGTGTCCCTCCCGTAATGGGGATACGCTGTGTAAGTTGTTTGGTACACATTTATACCCGTCTTGTTAAAGGTGATTTACTCCAGAGTCGGGGTCAAGTGGCACAAACAGATGGGTTACGTCGACCCGTCCGACTCGCTACGGGCGTAATTACACGTGCATTGCACGACAAATGGGTTGTACGTCACAGCTCCCCTTGTGGTAGTGTAATACCAGATACCATGGGTGGCGGGGGGAGCAGAGATCAACATCATTTGTCAATGGCATCTCTTTGAATCTGGTTCCGAAACCATAGGTTATATTTGTTTTGTTTTAACTTAACTACTAATGTTGTTATTATACTATTTCATAACTTCTCGTGTTTAAAGACCCATTATATCGGTGTTTCCATCATGATTCTGCAGTGGCTCCACATGTACCCGCCTTATCTGGCTGTTCTACTCTTTCTGCCAGTCGATCTAATGCAGCCAACGCCTGTTTTCCAATTTTGAAATGACACGATATCACAGCGGGACACCGAAGCATGTTAAGGTGCCACTCCAGATCTCATTCCTTTCTTGTTTTTGTTACGTCAACTTAGAGCTGATCTTATTATGATAGTGCTTATGTCCCGGCTTTTTGTTTTAGAGTTGACAATATGCGTCCGTTTTCCACGATAAAGTCATTCTATAACAGCTAACTAAGATAGCATCACCGTGTTTCATAGTTTCCTTTAATATATTTTGCGGCTTTAAATTCAACTTTACGAAAAGTGCTGATCAAGTAAGTTTTGTATCGCGTTGGTCAATAACAAAAACTGTAGCCTTTGAGTGTTTGAAGCGAACTCTTCAGCGTTTCTCAGATTTATGTCCGGCCTCTCCCCCTCTTAGCACTTGTCAAGATACGAATTCCGACACAGTTTGCAGCCCTTGAAACTTAAGCTACAAAGTAACGAGTCTGAGGACATGATTGTTTTCTAGATGGGTTCCATAGAGACGAAAGTGTTACCACCTGGGGTACTCCCGGCGTCCCCATCATTTATTGGTCGGGGCAGAACGAGGTTCTCCCGGCGTCCCCATCATTTCTTGGTCGGGGCAGAACGAGGTTCTCCCGGCGTCCCCATCATTTCTTGGTCGGGGCAGAACGAGGTACTCCCAGCGTCCCCATCATTTATTGGTAGGGGCAGAGCGAGGTTCTCCCGGCGTCCCCCTCATTTATTGGTCGGGGCAGAGCGAGGTTTTCCCAGTGTCCCCATCATTTATTGGTCGGGGCAGACCGAGGTTCTCCCGGCATTCCTACCGATTGGCAGTGATATTCCCTACACTCCATACCTCACGCGTGAAAAGAATTGTATCTGTTCACAGTACCTCTTTGCTCAAAACAGCAATAAGAAACTCTTGAATTCTGAGTAAAGACTTCGTGTAAAGATACAATATGCTATTACCTAAATCACTGAAAACATTCTAGGATATATGGATTCCTTCCATCACTAGAGTGAAAGCTTTAATGAAATAGTAAAGTCACAAAATGTTAGAATTTACCGGAGATTTGACATATTACAGTAGTCTCCTTGTATCTTTGTGACGTTTAAATGTCGTCAATATTCAGGAATCAAACACTAACATAGTAATACTCGCCTGTTACGTGCATGAAGCAGGGTGTTTTTCAGCGTTTTAAGAATGTCAAACTGAAGTATTAATGTGATACTCACCAGCCCATTACAAACTTCCAGCGCTACCGTGGATGACGTTTCGCCAAGAATCTCTCCAATGAAATGACAATGTTTCTCATCAGGAGCGACACCGGTAAACACAGAATCCGTCACATTCCCAAACGCACTTTTTCGTCTTTCAACAACTAGGGACGGAAGATATAATTTAAAATTAGGTTTTACTTTTAAATAAATAGGTTTATTTTCTACATTCACTTTATAATGCACCGTGTGGCCAGGTGTCTCCTCTTGAGAAAACTCCTGTTCTGTACTCCTCTTCCTCCGCCGTATATTTGGGTGTAAGGAATGAGTTATGTGGGTGCCCTCGGGCGTCACCCTGGATGGAATTGCGAAGTCATACTTTTCTAATCCTTGAACGAATTCCGCTGAAACCAAGCAAGAAGAAAATATATTAATATCGATAATATTTATCGGCATTGAATGCTTTTTATTTCAACTTTCTGTACTAAAGTAATGTAAAACTTGTTTCTGAATTTCTGTCGTATTAAGCTAAGAAACTTTACAAACGAAATCTAAAACCTTGAACAAGAACAAATAGTTTTTCAATCTACTGAATGGAAGCTACTGTGACGATTGGCTAAGATGACGTTGAGCTATGTGTCACGTCACCAAACCCATACGTCATTGTATATCATTATTTAGTTAGTCTGCAAAATTGGTAAGTGTTCTATCAAAAATATTGCATGCAACTCATAATACATGAACTAATACAAAAATCCAAATATCAAAAACGCATAAAATGAGCTTTATCTTTTTCTTTTTTTTTAAAGTACGGGATTTATAATCAGATGCAGAAATCATAAAACACATCATCATTATGGCTGCACGCCAGGTTGGTTCACAGAATATATGTTTATAAGCTGCATTCATATCTGTCTACATTAGTATTTCAAAGCTCGGCAGGTGTCAGTATTAAAATATGTACAGTTTATATGCATGTACAACTGTATGTGTCTGTTCTATCACAGGTCAGGAGGTCACGTAGAGACGGTGTCCTAGTTCACGTGTCCAACACAAGGTCTGTAACTATAACAACAGATGGACAACACTGGGTGTGTCCCGTAATTAAACCTTTAATGACGTTACGTCAAACATAATCACCCGAAGTGATAGACCTACAGACAAATACGAGCGGTGATCCAATAGTATATCGCCATGCCGTTAGCTAGATAAACCCGGGGCTAGCGATCTGATGGCAGCCATTACGTTTAACCCTTACCCACAAACGTACATCAACGTATTCCGTTTCCATTCATTTAAAACCATAAAACACAGGCTTGTGTTTGTTTCATGGTAAAATGTCATCAGAACACGTAGATACACTTGTTTCCGAACCGTTTAGTTACTACCCGGGACAGAGTAATGGCCCCGAATGGTTTATTGTTCAGGTGATCGTATCGCCGTCAGAAGTTGGTCTCGGGGTGTTTTTGAGGTCTCGGTGACAAAGACACGTTACAAAACCTAGCCACCTCATGTTAAATAAACGGTACTACTCGCTGCTATCTCGATTCCGGCCCTTTTAATTTATCTGGCGTTGATAATGATACACCTGAATAATGATACACCTGTATATTCCCTAAGTGATCGTACCGAGTGTGTCTAACGAGCCGTGTCCACCTAACCGTGAACCAATCTGGGCCGACATTTCAACAAACCGCAAAACATCTATATCACACATTGCCTCATTATTTCAATAAAATTTCAAATTCTTTTTATATTTTTGGAGTATTTTGTGGTTTCTTGATAAAAAAAAAACGTTGTCAATTATTTCAACTTGTTTCCGGATCCCATTCCTCTGTACTTTGTATGTTATGTGATGTAATGCAACCTAATTTGGAATGAAATAAAGTTTATATTAATGATACGGACGAATGTTCGAAGATTGCAAAGGGTGTTGTGGTGACCACTGTTTGTATTACACACGACTTGTGTCCAATTTTGAACAAAATACAATAGCCAAAATGAAGACAGTTATTCCTGAGCTTGCAAAAGTCTGATACAATTTTTGCCTGATAAAAACGAGACTTTGGTGAATGACAGAATAGCAGGGCTGCAGATCCTATTGAAAACACTTCTTTGCGTGAGGTTTTGGCGGCTTGTATAATCACATGGTTTTTATGTTGTGTTCAGGAAGAGTATCGGAACACTCATTAGTTCTGTGTGGGGTATTATCGTACACCCACTTTTTTTTAGAATCCATGTCTATCACTACGCAACACCGGGCCGGACATGGCTCATTCGCTAGAGGATATGAAGCGTGCGCAATGGCCAAACCGTCTGCCAGCTTGCAGCCCTCGTATAACTAAGTTAGTTATGACGCGAGTCAGTAGACAACGGTTCAGAACACATCACTGTGTCTCTTTGGGTGAATATCGTAACAGCTACTAGTGAGAAAAGCATTTCTCTAAATAAAATGTTCTCCGGTTTACAAATATAACATTGTTTTGTTTTTGGTTTGTCCTCGCAATAGCTAAGATAGCATGGAAACCGTATCCTCAAATGGAAATGACACTAATTGGTCACTCTCAAGTGCTATCTCTCTGTAATGGCACAGCCCCGGTACGACACACCATTTGTCTCACCAGGGATTACTACCGAGACCATCTCGTCAAAGAGAGTAGACCGAATGGTAAACCTAGAAATCCCGATTACGTCATTTTGATTCCCATTTTGCAACGATTTCAAACTTTCGTCATTATTATCATTACATTTTGCATTGCTAACGAATCAGATTTAACCATTCATAGTTCCCCAATTGCAGAGAACTCGGTATATAGTCGCATCATAAGTCAAGCTATCATAAGTTTCAAAGCGAGTTGCCCATGCCTACTTTGTACGCATGTCGGGTTTTCAAGTCTCATTGATTACTGACATTCCGAATACAGATTATTGGTAGAGTGATGTAAATGTAGTCGAAGCTGTTCGGCTACATTGTGGTAAATGTGGACGGGATACGTCTAGCAACTAGACACTAGATCCACGGTGCGTCACATAATAGCAATGTCTTTGATGATAATATTTGTCATTAAAACCTCATACGCGTAATTGGCAATCTACAGTTTGGTAAGACAAGCACTTTCCGCACAGTGCTGTTTCTAGAAATATTGTTAAGTGGACGATTCGACGATAATTCACTGGCATTTTTATAGCAAGAAGATGTTCATCAGACACTGCAATAGTGACATCGCTACTAGTGCTAGTGTACCCTACAAATTGGATGGGATATTAGGATGGTTGAAAGTAAGAAATGCTTCATTTTGCATCTTTTTACATGTTTCAAATTCCGAAATGTGTATCACGGTTTTTTTCGGTTATGCCTCAAAACACCTGTATTTATATAATTAGCGTCCTTTATTTCTACCTTTGATAAAGGATACGGTATGAATCAGAGCTGCACAACGCCTATAACATCGTCAAGGCGTCTGAGAAAGTGAACCTTTGGCTGTCTCACCTAGAGACAGTCAAGACTGTAACTCGAATCAAAGTATTGCTCAGCTTTTCCGGAATTCCGGTCCAGAACAATAGACCATTTTAGTTATCACATAGACGGACTCCAATTTAGTTGTAAAAAAGCATAACGTGGCAGTCGATGAAACAGTTTTGTAGTAGAGGGATTGCACCTGATATAGGATGAGAGGGCCTCAGGTGAAAAAAACTTACCTGGACAGACGCCCGTAGTGCGACACAACACACGTCCCGTTACAACAAAACACACGATCTTTAACCCGAAATCGAGGTGGTCCTTTTTTCCAGTTAATATAATTTCATATATTTACTCTCCCTGAAAGACACATCAGGAGAGCGGAAGGTTATCAGGTTTTTCGTTACCGTGTATAGTCGGGGCAATTTTATGGGTTAAGAAATTATATTTGAAGTGTCTCTGATCTAATAAGCCCCGGGTAGAAATAGAGCAACTGGGCTGTCTCCTAAGGGCCACATTCTTAGCTGATTATATTAAAGGTCCTCCAGCATTACAATTTTATCTTTTATCTCTTCAGCTTGTTTTTCACATATTAATAAAACTGTCTTTGTCCTTATTTTCCACCAGCAGCGTTTGAAACGAGAGAAGGTGATTTGTAGATACATATGAATGGTCCTCATAGTCTCACTCTCAACTAGATTGCGGTAGGTACATTATTGAAAAAGGTCATCATGGCCGTCCTGTAGAACGTTAAATGTGTAATTACCTTAGATCAAAGACGTGTGTGACAGCAATGTCAAACGTTTAAGGTCGACATTTTCATTATTAAGAGATTCCAATCATATTAGACATATATAATTAAGAAATTCATTAAAGCCTAGCGGGTCATTTACGAGTCCATTGTCACCGCCGACAGAGGGCAAAACTGGCGTGCGTGACAAGGACATAGACGATGTCAATGAAGAGGAAATTGTAGACGAGAAACAACCATTATTCATTTAAAGAATTATTGACGGTAGATTGTCCATGAAAGTATAACGTGACTTACGATATGATACTTTAGGACCGGGACCTGTTATATTTACAAATGGAGGTAGAGCTGTCTCATGGGGAGCTTGGTAAAACATGAAGTATTAAGATTCAGTCTGAAAAACTGCAAAGGAAGATAACCCAACCAGGAACCCAAAGCAAGTCAATGAACCGTAACGTTTGCTATACACGGGCCTCTCCCGAATAAAGCCTTTTGAACAGAGGGAGGCAGACTTACAAGGTGCTTGATACGTGTTCAATACCATATATGCATATCTGTAAACCCGTTTGTTTGTATTGTATTGATATACAGTTCGATCTATGTAATATTATTTGGATGTGATCTGCAGTAAAGTTGAATCGCAAGGTAATGTTACTTTGATGAACGACTTAGTATTATTATTCCCTACTCCTTGACAAAAGCAATATCAACGTCATGTACCTCTTTCTGCTTTTATCAATGAACGCACGACTCATTAAAAAACCAACAAAACCGCAGACGTGTTCAAAAACTAAATTTATCAATGAAACTTTAAACCATTGAGTGAAAAGCGAGTAACATTTGTGAGCAATCGTGCGAGACCACGGCCATCTTAAATACAATCTGTTAATTTTTTCTTCGATGAAAAACACATATGGTGACATTCATGTACTGTAAGAAATTTTGCCCATATAGATGTAATCAATCCATTAACGGCCGGAAGCAGACGATATTTCGCCACGACAGACAAGGTTAGGATCGTTCGCCACACATCAGTATGCATAATGTGTATTTGATCTCACGCTTGTATACCGTATATGGATAAATTGTACCGGAATACGAAGACACTGTCAAACGTTCAGTCACACTCAAGTGTGTTGTTGCACCGTCGATAGCGAGGACGCGTCAAACATGTCACACTAACGAGTGTTAGC